GACCCCGCCCTCGTCAGTCAGAGTTCGACGCGAATGCCAGGGCCCTCCCGACCCGCGCCGGCAAAATTCCGGGCCGCTGCCACTCCGGGGAGGTTGGGGAGGGCCAGGCAGGGACTGTGGGGCAGAGGCGGCCCCTGGGCTCAGGCGGGCCGGGCCAGGGCTTCCGAGTGAGCAAGGCCGCCTTCCGGCACCGGCCTGCCGGGGTGCAATGCCCCGAGGCTCGGAAGCCGATCCTTTCGTCCTCTAGCCGACTTCCCACCCGATCCCCTCGTTCCCTTCTGCGCTCACCTCCCGACTCCGCTCCTCGCAGCCTGCGCTTCAGCTCCAGCTTGGGTTCCGGGGCGCCGGATCACAGAGACTCCCTCACAGCTGCGCTCCACAGCGCAACCGAACTACAGCCCCGCCCTCGCGGCGTCCTGACCAACAGATGGGCGGTGCCGCACTGCCTTAGGTTTCCATTGGACAAGGTGGCTGGGTGGGCGGTGCCCCGGTTAGACGGTCAGTGGGAGGGAGTCTTCAATCGGGCCTCTTCCACTTGAGCCGGACCGGCGGAGACCTCTCGGAGGGTTCGGCCTTTTCCATCCCACCTGGGGCCCTTCCTTCTGTCCACCACTCTACTCAGTCCAGGAGCCCCCGATGATTCTGCTAGACAAAGATCTTCCTTCTCTTCTTGAAGGCGCCATGACAGTTCTAATCCGACCGAAAGACAAAAGGAGCGAAAGTCTGAGAGGAGCGTCCACCCACTTTCTTTATTTACGGATGAGGCTGTGTCCAGGACACCAATTTCTTAGAAAGCTTTAGAAAAAAAAAATCACTTAACACTGAAAATTATTATGCTTTGTGATTACATAGGACTGATATTTGCCAAAACTTTGCAAGAGCGTTTCATAGACGTTATTTGATGATCCTCATAAGAACTCATTGAAATTATCATTGACAGTCGACAAATAAAAAAAAAAAAACTGAACCAGAGGCACTAAACTATCCAAAGTTAGGTTGATGACAGCCAAATCTAGAATCTGAAATAGTAAGATTCACCAAAGAAAACTTAGTTGAGAAGATGTTTGGAAAGAACTTAGATTGTTTGGGGGAGGTGGAAAGAATGGATGATAGATTACATTGATCCAAGAAAACTAGATGCGGAGCATGTAGGATGGAAGTTCAGTCTGCCATTAGACATATATAATGAAGGGGGGGAAAGATGAGCCAATCACCAGAATTTGGTAATGTCGTAATCACCAAATTTCACTGTCCTTAAAGAGAATCTAATCCTACTTCAAAGGAGCTCTGGTGGCTCAAACAGTTAAGCGCTGGCCTGCTAACCAAAAGGTTGGCAGTTGGAACCCCTGGCAATCTTCTTCACCTAGCGGCTAGCAGGAGAAACCCCTGGCTCTGGCAATCTGTTTCCATCAAGATTATAACCAAAAGGGAGTAGTTCTAATCTGTCACATGGGGTCACTATGAGTCGTTATTGACTCTATGGCACCTAACAACAACAACAACTCTATTTCACTGAGAGGGTAATCTTTTCCTGACCCATGGGACATATATCACCCACCTACATTGTCTGCCTCTGAGGTTTCTTGGGAAGGTGTTCTCTCACTTACACTTTGTGCTGCTGCAAGGTGGGGACCTATATAACTATTTGAAATGGAAGAAACAAGTGTGTGCCACAAATGACTGTTTTTACTGGGTATTGTATGGGGTGGTGCCAAATCAATATTTTTGGTAGGTAAAATGTGGATTTTGATCAAAATTATTTGGGACACGTATGTCCCTCTGGACTCTGAGGGTAGGATTGGTGGGATGAGGCAAGAAAAAAATCCATACTACCTACCAAAAATTCAGACACACTCAATGATTGAGCACGCATTCCGTTTAAAATTCAAAGTAGAAAATAATTAGCTCTTGAAAGGGATAACTTGCAGAAGACATTTTCTCATCTCTTCACCTCAGAATGTTTATTTTTAAACCAATCTTTCATCCTGCCTTAATTCTTTTACCTTTGAAAGAGAGGGCTCAAACACCCTTTATAGAAATCTGATGAAGGTTATGGGCCTTCTTTTGGATTTTTTTTTAAAAAATGCATGTACCCACCAAATTTGGCATATAATTTCAGGGAGTTGAGGTTAAGAATCTTTGTACCAATCTCAAAGGAAAGGATGTTCCTCCCCCTTCCCAGCTTAACCTCTTCCCCCTGTGGGTTCTAACACATTTGAAACACCTGGCCCGTGGTAAGTATTTATTAAATGTCAGTTGATATTATCATTATAGTTTCCCATTCTCTTCCATCTGGGACCTTAGAATTATCAACCTTTCCCTTCAACTACCTTCTTTTTTCCAATATGCATAAAGGACCCTTTGGCATACTCAAGTTTTCGTCTTATTTTTAAACTTTCATTCACATTTAAAATGCTCAAATATTTTATACCTAAAACCAAAAACTCATCGCTATTCAGTAGATTCTAACTTATAACGACCCTATAAGACAGAGTAGAACAGCTCCCCATTGGGTTTCCAAGGGTTTCCAAGGCTGTAATCTTTACGGGAGCAGACTACCACATCTTTCTCCTGAAGAGCAGCTGGTGGGTTCCAACCGCCAACCTTTCAGTTAGCAGCCAAGTGCTTAACCACTGCACCACCAGGACTCCTTTCATTTTGTACATACTGCCTGCATTTTCACCACCCTGTTTATTTAATTTATCCTTTTTTCCAATTTATAAATGCATACTTATTAAAATATTTCACAAATATTTAATAGAAATAGAAATAATATTTATATTATATATTATTTAAATTTAAATAATACTTAACAGAAATAATATTTATACAGTAGCTTCTATGTGCCAAGTACTGTCTTAATTGCCTTGTAACACGTATCAACTCATTTAATCCCCACAACATCCTATAAGAACTATGAATTAACAATTACTATAGAAAGTGAAAATCTCTTATAATCCCACTTCCCCCAAACAATTAAGCCTTGATGTTTATTTCTCTATGCTTTTTCTACGTATACATTATGTGTATGTAATTTTAAAGTAAAAACAAGCTCATGCTACATAATCTTTTTCAATTTTCGCTTTTCACTTTTTTCCACGGCAGGATATAAAGCACTGCTTTAACTTTTTAATCACTGTATTCCATTTTCTAAATGTGCCAATGTTTATTTACTTAATACCTACCATTGGGCATTGGGGTTATAGCCAGTATTTATTATTATAAATGAAGCTGCAATGAACATCCTGTTACATATATATTTGCCCACTTGTGAAAATGATTTGTATACATTCTTCAAAGTAGAGCTGAGTCAAAGGTTAAGAGCATTTCAAGTTTGAATAGATATTGTCAATTTGCTCTTCAAAAGTATCAAATAACACTACCACCAAGAGTATGCTGGGGTCTTGTTCTCCAACACCCTTACCAACACTGGGTATTACCAATCTTTTCAACTTGGGTGATATATTAAGAGAAAGATAACCTTGTGTTTTAATTTGCATTTACTTAATTATGAGTGAGGTTTGTGTGGGACAGAGAACTCACTTTGGACTTTGCCTCTGGTTTCTGGAAGATAGCCCTTGGAATTTCTAAAGCAATCAAGGCGTCTGTGTTTTTCTAAAACAGCCAGGCAATACATGTTATTAGGTACCATGGAGTCGGTACCAACTCCCAGCCACCCTATGTATAACAGAACCAAATGTTGCCCAGTCCTGCACCATCCTCACAATTGTTGCTGTGTTTGAGCCCATTGTTGCAGCCACTGTGTCAATCAGTCTCATTGAGGGTCTTTCACTGACCCTCTACTTTTACATAGCATGATGTTCTTCTCCTGGACTGGTCCCTCCTGATAACACGTCCACGGTTAAGTGAGATGAAGTTTCACCATCCTCACTTCTCAGGAGCATTCTGGCTGTACTTCTTCCAAGACAGATTTGTTCCTTCTTCTGGCATGCCATCGTATATTCAATATTCTTTGCCAAAATCATAATTCAAATGCATCAATTCTGTGGTCTTCCTTATTCATTATCCGGCTTTCCCATGCATATGAGGTGACTGAAAAGACCATGGCTTGGATCAGGCACACCTTAGCCCTCAAAGTGACATCTTTGCTTTTTAATATTTTAAAGAGGTCTTTTGCAGCAGATTTGCGCAATGCAATGCGTCTTTTGATTTATTGACTGTTGCTTCCATGGGCATTGATGGCGGATCCAAGTAAAATGAAATCCTTGATAACTTCAATATGTTCTCCATTTATCATGATGTTGCTTATTGGTCCAGTTGTGA